TTAGTGACAAAGTCAGCAGCAAACATAAGGCTTTCTCTTAATGATTTATTTGAAAGGCAGAGTTAGAAAGACACACCTTCCAGCTGCTGGTTCACTCCTCAAATTGCTGCAATGGTTGGAGCTGGGCCAATCTGAAGCCAGACGCTTCCTCTAAGTATCACATGTGGTGCAGGGGCCCAAGCACTTGGGCCATCTTCTACTGCTTTCCCAGGTGCATTAGCAGGGAGCTGGATGGGAAGTGGAGCAGCTGGGACTGCACCCGATGCCCACATGGGAATCCCAGCACAGCAGGTGGCGGTTTAACCTGATACACAACGGCCCAGGCCCCCCAGGTCACCACTAATTCTTGAACCTAACTTTTAAACCCTACCCCCTCACTACCACGCCACAAAAGGAGGCCTGGTGCCATAGCGCAACGCAGGAGCACACTCAGCGACCAGAACAGACTGCAGGTCGGGAGCCCACGTTCCGACAGCGACTCTGCAGGAGCTGCGCGGAGGGCAGGACGACGGGCTGGCCGGTCGCCTCTCGGGGCACTGTGTCATCATCCAGAGTAAGAGAAAGGACTGGATGCATTTCAGGATTTTCCCTTCCCAGCTCCGAGTTAACGATTCTCCTCATATTTTAAAACTTATTTGAACTCAAATGTTCTCACCATAATAGATTTTCTAATTCAATTATCATATGAATATGCAGAAGCATATCAGGAGGCATAAACATTTTCCGACGTTTTTTTAATTTCTCCATCCAGTGAACAAAGTCACTCATTCCGGCACCTGCTCTCTCTCTCACTCGGACCTGCAAGGGGTTGCATCTCCACCCTTTCCAAGCGTGGCTGTCCACGCGTTAGGAGCAGATGAGCGAGGGGATGTACAAATGAACAGAGGGTCAGAAATGCTTCTAGAAGAAACTTGCTGACTTTGAGGAAAATATTTCTCCTCTCCAGCTTTAAAACTACATTAAACAGCTGAGCCATGTATTGGAAACGTCCGTATAGGTAGCCTATTACTACAGGAATTAACCTATTACTACAGGAATTAACCTATTACTACAGATTCGCACTTATTCCATGTCTCCTGAAGCACCACAGAAACAACTCAAACTTCATAACCACTCGGTGAACCCAGTGTGGCCACTGGAATAAATCAGGAGCTCAAAAAACCAAAATAACAATATTAATAATGAACAGGAATCCAGCACATAATGTTACAACAGCCAACAATATGGAGTGAACAATATGTGGTTAGATCACTTTCATGACCCAGCTCAAATGAAGATGCGTGCAGAAGTGTCCCCAACATTGACAGTGAAGGGAAAGATCGTTAAAGGACAACAGCAGTGGTGTAATGGGTGGAGCTGCCACCTGAGACGCCAGCTTGTCCTGTGGCTGCCGGTTTCTGTCCCAGATGCCCCACTTTCTCAATCCAGCTCCCTGCTGATGGCCAGGGAAAAGCAGTGGAAAAGGGCCCCAGGGCTTGGGTCCCGCCACCCAGTGGGAGACCAGGAGGAAGCTCCAGGCTGCTGGATTCAGCCCTGTCCAGCCCTGGCCCCTGCAGCCAAATGGGGAGTAAACGGGTAGACGGATGATCTCTCTCTTGTTTCTCTATCTCTCTGTAACTGCATTTCAAAGAAATGAATCTTTACAGGGAAAAGGAGGAGCTGGTGCTGTAGCTTTGCGGGGCATCCCCTGGCTTCTCCACTTCCAGTCCAGCTCTCTGCTGTGGCCTGGGAAAGCAGTGGAAGATGGCCCAAGTCCTTGGGCCCCTGCACCTGCATGAGAAACCTGGAGGAAGCTCCTGGCTTCTGGCTTTGAATCGGCACAGCTCCAGCCATTGTGGCTATCTAGGGAGTGAACCAGTGGACGGAAGACCACCCCCATCCCCGCCACTGCCTTTCTGTGACTCTGCCTTTCAAATCAATAAATAAATATTTAAAAAAAGAAGAGGCTGGCACCATGGCTCACTAGGCTAATCCTCCACCTTGCGGCACCAGCACACCGGGTTCTAGTCCCGGTCGGGGCGCCGGATTCTGTCCCGGTTGCTCCTCTTCCAGGCCAGCTCTCTGCTGTGGCCCGGGAGTGCAGTGGAGGATGGCCCAGGTGCTTGGGCCCTGCACTCGCATGAGAGACCAGGAGGAAGCACCTGGCTCCTGGCTTCTGCGCCGGCCGTAGCAGCCATTTGGGGGGTGAACCAATGGAAGGAAGACCTTTCTCTCTGGTTCTCTCTCTCACTGTCTAACTCTGCCTGTCAAAAAATAAATAAATAAAAATTTTAAAAATAAAAATAAAAAGAAGAAGAAAGAAAAGAAAAAACTACACAGAAAGCAACAGAAATCTACTAGGACTAATCAAGGAGAAACTAGGATGGGTACCAAACGTGAAGCACAATTTATCTGAAAATAAGGGCAGTATTTTCAACCATGGAAAATAAGAACAGATTTGAAAAGATGAAGATAAGGCAACCAAGATTGGCCCAGAAACTCCTTAGACTTAAGTAGAGAATCTCAGAAACATTACTTCACAAATCACTCTTTCGGAGAAGGAAACAAAAGCAGAAAATGGCAGACTTGTAGCTCCACTGGGAGAGGAGGCGCACCTGGACACAAACGCCAAGGTGACCAGTCAGGTCCGCGTCTGGGTCAGCAGTCACCGCCACGCGCACAGCCCAGCCCTCTTCAGGCTGAAGCCATCCCCCCTGGAAGCATGCTAAGACCTGGGATGGTCACTGTCGTCTGAATGCGTCCACAGGCAAAGGAAAGGCTGCTAACGCTGAGCCCCAGGGAGGGGTCACGCTGCCCGGACAACGCGCTGCACGGGTGAGGGTGGCCCCGTAAAAGACGAGAGGTAAAAAACCCTTCCTGCCCAGTGACATCCAAGTGCAGGCGTCCATAGTGGTGCTGGTACAAGCAAACCTACGGCAACGCAAGGCACACAAAACCACGGTGCATTACGGGCAGGGCATCACCAGTGGTGACGTCAGCGACTGCTACTCACCGGTGTACTTAACACACCATGCTTCCTGCCATCCTTTCAAAGTGCACTTCACTTACAAGACACAAGGCTCAGGAGGACGGGTCAAGGCACTGACCTGCCCCGCGCAGGTCAGCCCAAGTACGTTCTGTGAGGCTCTCGGCCAGAATCACCCGCGGGGTGGGTGCGTTTCTCCCAGAGCGTCCCAGCTGTGAAGCAGTGCACGGCGAGCTGACCACCGCTGTGGGTTAGGAATTCCCACGAGCGTCCGACGAGGAACGCACCATGACACAAGACAACCAGCCAATACGCAGCGAGCCAGGACATGGGTGTCAAGAGGGGAAAATTAAACTGCCAACTTGTCAGAAATGGCAGCAACGGGTTATCCGGGTTAGGAAGTTCCAAAGTTCTGACTGTCACACCCCCCATTTTAAAGCAACGGCCATCTGGCAACTCATGAAATGTCTCTACCACACGTATGATTTGGGGGAATCACTTGAGACACTGGCATCCCAGATCACAGCGAAAGATCCAGTCCCGGCTGCTCCACTCCCCATCCTGATCCCCGCTGGTCACCCTGGGCAGCAGTGGATGACGGATGCCCAAGCACGAGTCCCTGCCGTCTATATGGGAGACCGGGTGGAGTTCCTGTCTGCTGGATCAGCTACTGTGGACATCTGGGGAGTGAGCCAGCAGACGAAGGTACCACTGGATGTGCTCTCCTGTCTACCCAGCTGCCCACCTCTGCCCTTCTGCCTTCTAAATACATTAAATAAGTAACTCTATAAAAGATCATCCATGATTTAATAACCCGATTTTCCACAACGTGGAAGTGAGTCCAATACGAACTGAAACAAAAACTTCTGGGAGGAAAACCTGCCCCCTTCAAATGCAACTGTATCATCTGTAAGAAAATAAACGAACACACAGCTATAGGTGAGCTGTCAAAAAATAAATAAATTGTTTTTATTCACTGTCTTAAGTGAGCTCGGGGGCACTGGAGTAGGGCCTGCGTCCATCCTGCGCTTCTACACGGTGAGTCGGGTCAGGAATAACCGGGATCCGGCCACCAACATCCTCCATGATACCGCCAGGCCAGCTATCAGGAGAGGGGCATCTTCCAGGATTCCGACAGATGGGATGCGGAGTGACTCCTGGTGACCACACAGGACAGCTACTACACATTCTGTGTGACACAAATTAGGTTACTATCGCACGCGGCCAGGAGGAAAAAAAAAAAAAACTAGCTTCGCTCAGCAGCTGGCCACGCAGCACACCTGCTAGGCGGTGTAGGCGCTCGCCCGGGCGCAGGCGCGGGCCCGCTCTCCGCCGGCCTCCGCGGGTCCGGGCGCCCGGCCCCGGCGCGGCGCAGCCTGCCGCGGGCCACTCCGGGCAGCGGAGCGGCTCACGTGGGAAACGCACGGCGCGGGGAAGCGCGCCGCGCAGGGGCTTGGCAAGGCTCCCAGCGGTCACCTGGCCGGGCGCAGGCAGGTAGCGGGGCGTGCACGTGCACCATTGTTTTCTAGACGTGCGGGAACGCTTTGCAGACCCGAGACCCCCCAGCCGCAGCCCGGCGCGGAGCCGGGCAGGGCAGCGCCGCCGCTGGAAGCCGCGCGCAGCACAAGTTCAAAACGCAACGACACAGCGATTCTGGCCTCACCTCTCGCCCCCTCCACACCCGCGCATCGCAGCCGCCGCCGCGGGTCCCCATGACAACCGCGCCCGGCCCGCCGCGACCCCCGCCCCGGCCCAGCCCGCGCCCCCGACTCCCGGGAGGCGGGCCCGGGCCCCTGCCGGAGCGCGGGCCCGGGCGCGGCGCGACCCTCGGCGGTGGCCGGCGCGGCGCTGAGCCGGCTCCGCCCCGACCCCCGACCCCCGACCCGGGGCGCGGGGGCCGCGGGCGACCCCAGGAACGGGGCGCGAAGGCGCCGGGCCCGGGCCGCCGAGGGCGGGCTCCGGGCGCCCCAGGGACGCGTCTGCTTCCTCAGACTCGGCCGCGCCGCGGCGCGGGAGGTGCGGGGCCGGCGCTCACCTTGAAGGGGTTGTTGAGGTCCGGGTCCGCAAACGGGTTACTGTCGAAATCCGACATCTCCGTGGCGCTCGGCGTCACCCTGCCGGCCCCGGCGCAGCGACAGAGACGAGGCGAGGCCGCCGCCCCCCTGCGCGCTCACGTCGCCGCCGCCGCCGCCGCCGCGCAGATCCGGGCGCCGCTCGCGGGGCCGCCCCGCCGGCCGCGCACTGAGCATGCCCGGCGCCCCGGCCCGCTCCCCGCGCTCCGGGCTTTCGCGGCGACCGAGCGCGGACCGGGGCCGCGGCGCGAGCGGAGGTGACGCGCGCCGCGTCCCGGCGGTGACCGCCACCGGAGGCCGGCGAGGGGTCGCCGTGCCACGGCGCGAGGGCCGACGCGCGCGGGCCGCGCCTGCCGGCCGGGAAGCTGCAGCCCAGCGCGCGGGCCTCGCCCTGGCCGGGCCGCGGGCCGTGAGGACTGCGGGCCGCAGCGCCGCTGACCGGCCCGGGAAGCCGGGCCTCCGAGAGGTCGGAGGGTTGGGGTCGGGTGAGGAGGCCAGGCCCTCCGGTGAATGGCAGCGGAGGACAAAAGACGCCCCCTTTGCGTTCACGTTCAGAGGTTTCGGCGCGGACTACACGCATCCACCGCTCGGGTCTTGGCTCTGCGCCCCGCACCGGGAGGGAGCTTCTCCAGAAACGCGCGCCGCGCACCGCCGCTGCCCCAGCCCGCCCGCCTGCCCCTGCCCCTGCCCCTGCCCCTGCCCCTGCCCCTGCCCCTGCCCTCCGCCTCGGCGGGACGGCGCGGAGAGGACGCGCCCGCGGCCGGGGCGGATTGAAAGGACCCATACGGGATCCTCCGTGGCCTTCCCGGGCCGTGCGCGGCGCAGGGTAGCCCCGCAGGTGAAGCGGTCGCCCAGAGCCTGGACGGGAAGCCATTCGCCGAGGGGGTCCCCGACACGGGGGCGGGGGTGGTGAGGCCTCGGGGCGCCACCGAGAAGGGACGGCGCGGCCGGAAGGGAGCGGGAGCCCGCCTGCTGGTGCTGCTGCCAGCTCCGGCGAGTGGCAATCAGCCCCAGCAGGTGGTTTAGGCGTAGAGTAAGGACAGGGAAGTGCTGGCTGAGGGTCTGACGGCGGCGAGGAGACCCAGCCCGTCCTTAGCGCCTGCCTCCTGGCCCTCACTCCCCCACCGTCTCGGAGAATCAGCCTGGGCTGGCTGTGCGTCTCCTGTATTCCCAGACGAGGAGCAGCAGCGGAGCCTGCACTGCAGGATGGAAATTCCCAGCTCCTCTCAGTCGCAGCCAACAGCCTTAGCATGCGATGCGAGGGTTACAGGCCGCGTTGTTACAGAGCCCTGCCCGTTCCTCTCCCGGTTCTCACGAGGTGCTCACCCACGTACCTGTCACGGCTGATAGCACGAACACGTCCTAAGTGTTGGCACTTTGGAAAAACGCGATCATCATGCAGGCTTGTGTGCAGCTAGTTTTTCATGGTGGCGCCCACACAGTTTCTCAGCAAGGTGTGCACTGGCAAAAGCACAGCCCGAGGCCTCGGGACACCACTGCACAGCATCTGCCGCGGCGACAGAGGTGAAGGGGGCTGGAAGCGCGACCTAATGGAGACCCCTCCGGACCCCAGGCTGCAGTGCCGCGAACGCAGTCTCTAGAACAGTGCAGGCCGGCGCCGCGGCTCACTAGGCTAATCCTCGGCCTTGCGGCCCGGGCACACCGGGTTCTAGTCCCGGTCGGGGCGCCGGATTCTGTCCCGGTTGCCCCTCTTCCAGGCCAGCTCTCTGCTGTGGCCCGGGAGTGCAGTGGAGGATGGCCCAAGTGCTTGGGCCCTGCACCCCATGGGAGACCAGGAGAAGCACCTGGCTCCTGGCTACGGATCAGCGCGGTGCGCCAGCACACCAGCCGTGGCAGCCATTGGAGGGTGAACCAAGGGCAAAGGAAGACCTTTCTCTCTGTCTCTCTCTGTCCATTCTGCCTGTCAAAAAAAATTTCTAAAAAATTAGAACAGTGTAGAGTTAGTGTGCTTAGAGGACCCCGGGTGACTCTGAGGGCCAGGCAGCGCCCAGCAGGGTGACCACACCCTCAGCCCACGGCCCAGCTTTCTCTTCCGTCAGCTTCCTCGAAACTACAGTCACAAAACCGGAGGGTTCAGCATGGCCTCGGCCTTTCTCAACACGGGAGGAAACTTGAGTTTGGCCAGGTTTGGCGGTCGGCCTCGATTACGAAGGAAGCGGGTGGGGCACCTGGGAATGGAGTTCATGTCTCTCCACTCGGGTTTCAGTGGATGAGTTTGATTAGTGATAATTTCATGTAAAAAGGATGTGCTGTGTGGAAGGTCAGCTCACCACAGGGCCTCGTCTGCTGCAGGAGTTGTTTCCCAAGAGCTGCCTTCTAAATTTAATAAATAATTAAGAATCAAACTGTTAGTGGAGATGAGTGGTAGGGCTCTTGTCTGAAAGAATTCAAGCGTGAGAGAGCAAGGTAGCAGGGTTCACTGGGGACAGGGGCAGGATCTGAGGGAGTGCCCAGTCAGCTTGTGGGGAAACAAGGTCACGTGGCTGAATGGAGAGAACACACCTGGCAGGCCAGGCTAATTTGTAACTTCCCACCTAACAGAACCAGCTGTATGCCTTGGTCTCAGCAGATCACCTCTGGCCAGCTTCCGTGCTGTTCTCTGTTGAGCACCCACTGAGTGCTGAGGTTGGAAGATGAAGCAGTGACCCAAAGGCAGGGTGGTCCTGTGCCCGAGGAACGTGTGACAGGGCCATCGTGGGCCCCTGCACATGCTGTTCGTCTGGGACAGTGGCTCACTCTTGCGAACCCTGTGTCTTTTTTAATTTTTTTTATTTTATTTTTTGACAGTTAGACAGTGATAGAGAGAGAGAGACAGAAGTCTTCCTTCTATTGGCTCACTCCCCAAAATGGCCACCATGGCTGGCGCTGCACCGATCCGAAGCCAGGAGCCAGGTGCTTCCTCCTGGTCTCCCATGCGAGTGCAGGTGCCCAAGCACTTGGGTGGGCCATCCTCCACTGCACTCCCCGGCCACAGCAGAGAGCTGGCCTGGAAGAGGGGCAACCAGGACAGAACCAGTGCCCACATGGGATGCCGGTGCCGCAGGTGGAGGATTAACCAAGTGAGCCACAGTGCGGGCCCCTGCAATCCCTGTGTCTTTTTAAGATTGCCCCTCACAATGATCACCGCGGCTTCTCTGACGATTTTGGTTTGTGAATCCCTTGGGCAGGCGCTCGGGTCCGAATGCCATGTTTGCCCTTGTGGCTAGCATGTAGGTGGAAAATGCTGAGAAGACGCGGGCTGGCACATGCACCACCCCGGCTCAGTGGACTCTGGGCTGACTCGTGGGAGAGAACTGAAGTCGCCACCTCTCCAGCTGCACGCTGTGTCTGCAGTGACCCAGCAGGAGCGCAGCCGACCCCTACTCTGCCGTGGGCTACACTTTCCTAAAGGGATCCAAAGAAGACACCAAATACCCCCTCTCTCTGGAGGTGCCCACCCTGGCACCTGTACGTGTTACCTTACATAGCAAGGGTGCGTTCGCACATGTCAGTGACACCGAGGGCACTGAGACGGGAGATCACCCTGGATTAGCTAAGCAGGGCTGGTGTAATCTCAGGAGTCAAAGTGGAGTAGGAAGGCAGGAGAGTCGCCGGCCTGGAGGAAGGAGCCAGGGGTTCAAGAACCAAGCTGGGTGTGGCCTGCAGAAGCCGGGAAGGGCCTTGGCAGCAGCCCTGGGACTGAATTCTGCCGGTGTTGTAGGCAGGCATCCAGGATAAAATGGATCAGATTTGTGAGCTGCAAGACCACGCCGTCACCACGCCCCCTGTGTGATCTCATCCCCCTACCTGACCCCACATGTGTGCCCACCTGCCAATCTGGCTAATTAACCACTCCCCTTTGGAAGTGGATAAAGGCCTGGGACATGATGGGCTTGGCCCTTTTGCCTTTTTGCCCTTCTTCCTCGATGCCCGGAGTCTCCGTTGCTGCCCCATGCCTTCGGGGCGTGTGGCCTTCGGGCCACCCACTCCATGCTTCCCAGCCTGCACGCTCCTCCACATGGCTGGCTCCTGGTGCTTGGTATGAATCCAGATCTCCCTCTCTTTTAGATAGAGCCCTCACCCTCCTATGCATTTCTCTAACTAAATAAAAAGCTTAAAACTTACCATGTTGCCTGGTTGATTTGTGCCAGTATTCAGAATTCTTTGAATATGTGGCAAGAGCCCACATGGCTTATTAATTTCAAATATATTAAGCAAATCAGTAACACCCCAGAGACAAGAGGGAACCCAGCCCCAGGGCACCTCGATTTTAGCCCAAATAAACCAATACCAGCCCTGCTGACCCACAGCTGCAAGATGTAGATGCGTGCTGTTCTCATCTGCTCCATTTGTGGCAGCTTTGTTAGGGCAGCAAGAAAAAAGGAGCCCGTACCAGTGAGGAGTGCAGAACAGAGGAGAAGCAGGGACGGGTCACTCGGTTCCCCGCTTAAGATTCCCAAGCAGCACGTTTCAGCTCAAGATCAAAATGCAAATAGTGCTGATGAAGAGAAAGCTAAGGCCTCTAACTTGTTCCGAGCAGGCTCAGTTTCCCGCAGCTGCTAGCTCACTGTGTAGCTAGCACTGAGGTGGTATTGTTAAAAACTGGAACATGCAACTTAATTCTATTTGGCTTTGAAGCTGAGGCTTACTCTTATTAAAGGAAAGCACTTCTTGTCTCTTTCCCTCTTCATTCTGCACAGCCAGCCGCTGGTCTACTAGTGCTATTTATGGCTCCTCTTAGATCTGCATCCTCCTTCCCGCCCCTCCCCCATTCCGGCAGGAAGGCTGCCCTGCTGTGCCCCACACTGCACCGTCAAAGTGGGTAACACCCGCAGTGTGTGCGCCTCTGTCCGTAACTGTGTCTCCGTTATGTGTCCCCCCAGCTCCTGCAGAACTGGCGAGATGTGTCCTGGTGTTGATGACCATTTCCAAGCCTGGACACACCAGTGAAAGTGGAAGAAGTGAAGTTTTATTTAAGTAAGGAAAACAGAAGCTCCCAACAACATGATCAGATCTGGGGCTAGGGGCTCGGTTATCTCCAAGGAACAAAGGCTGTGGTTATACATTAATTACTATGAAGGCTGGAGGCAGTCTGGTGTTTAACAACTGATTTATTTATTTGAAAGGCAGAGTTACAGAG